CTCGCCCCCTGCCACGATGTTCTCGATGGGGCCGTACGACGACACGCTGCCTGGAGGCACGAACGACAAAGCGGGGGGGCGCCCGACCGTACTCCCGCCTCCTCCTGCTCCTCGTCCCCCTTGTCCCCTCGCTGCTCCCTCCCCCCTCCTTTTGGCACGCCCTGCATGGGCACCGCGAGAACTGGGCACGAGGCCCGACAACGACTGCTATCCAGAACCGACAGCGGCCGCCGACGGGCAATCGGCGTTTGCCGCACACGGACAACGTCCGCGGCGACACCGACACCGAGCCCTGCTCCGAACGAGCAAACACTGCTTCTGGCTGTCGATCCCATCCCTCGATGGTGTGGTCCCCCTGGTGGTGGCGTGGTCCCCTCCTCTCGCTCGAGACATTCCCTATCCCCAGCTGGGGAAGGCATCGTGGACCTCCTCGCTGGAGGTGGCCCCCCCGGTGGTGGCGGCGTCGCTTCTCCTTCTCCCGATTCCATCCCTATTTCAATCCTCCTGCCCCTCCATCGCTAGCTCGGATGCTGGCCCATTGGCGCACGGGACGAATGCTACAAAGCAAGGCGTCCCGGAGGGCCCGTCGGGGAAGGGTTCCTCAGGGCGCCCTCTGGCGCGCCAATCCAAGAAACCCGCGCGGACCTCCCAAAATGTAGATTTACCTATGCGACCACCCTTTGGGTGATAAGGAGGTTGTGGGGGGAAGAGGGGGGGAACCAACATCTGACTCGACCGATCTCACTATCGATCTCACTCAACGGGACACCACGGGACACCACGGGACACCTCAGGGCACCACATCGATCTCACTATCGATCTCACTATCGATCTCACCGAACGGGACACCACGGGACACTACGGGACACCACGGATCACCACGGGACACCACGGGACACCGCAGGACACCTCTCGATCTCACTATCGGTCTCACTATCGATCCCACGATCGATCTCACTCAACGGGACACCACGGGACACTACGGAACCCCTCGGGACACGACTATCGATCTCACTATCGATCTCACTATCGATCTCACTACCGATCTCACTCAACGGGACACCACGGGAGACCACGGGACACCTGTCGATCTCACTATCGATCTCATTTTTTGGGACACTACGGGGCACTTCGGGGCACCACGTCGATCTCAGTATCAATCGCACTATCGATATCACTATCGATCTCACTCAACGGGACACCCGGGGACACCATGGGACACACTATCGATCTCACTACCGATCTCACTCAACGGGACACCACGGGACACCACGGGACCCCGCGGGACACCGCGAGCCGCGAGCCACCGCCGGACGGACGGACGGACGGGCGGGCGGGGAAGAATCATTTGTCTCGACATCGCCCTGGCAACGGCGGACACCACGGGAGACCACGGGACACCGCGGGGCACAGCGAGCCACCGCCAGACGGACGGGCGGGGGAGAATCATTTGTCTTGACTTTGCCCTAGCAACGGTGGACACCACGGGAGACCACGCGACACCGCGGGACACCGCGAGCCACCGCCGGACGGGCGGGCGGGGGAGAATCATTTGTCTTGACTTCGCCCTAGCAGCGGCGGGTTCATTATTCTCGCTGTCCATGCAGCTTCGCCTCGCCCGCACGCACGACACGAACGAAACGAAACGATTCCCCGGTTGGGGGTCTCCGTTCCATTCCACTGCGATCTCACCCCCCAATCTCCGATGCTATGGCTTCTTCCCGAGAGGAGGACGACTAGCAGCAAGAAAGCTGTGGGGGAGAGAGGGAATAGTGCCACTACTCGGATGAACTCCGGGCCTCTTCACGATTGCCGTGATTCTGGCAACTCCGTGGATCTTCTTTGTCTATCGCCTAGTAGCATATGTTAGCCCCGTGGTGACCTCTGCTGTTCTCATGCTCGCGTCGTGCTTGCGGGCGAGGTGTAGCTGCGTGGGAGGAATGAACCCTCCTCCGGCTAGGGCGCCGCCAGACCAAAAGACTGCCCCCCCAAGTGTCCAGCGGTGGCTGGGGCCGTCCCGCCGTGGTGTCCCGATGGTGCCTCTCGGTGTCCCGTGCTGTCCCGTGGTGTCCCGCGGTGCCCCGTGGTGTCCAGAGGCGCGGTGACCCGCGGTGTCCCGTGGCGTCCCTTGAGGTCGACAGTGAGATCGATTGTGAGATCGATCGTGAGATCGATAGTGAGATCGATAGTGAGGTCGATCGTGGTATCGATTTCGAAATCGATCGTGAGGCCGATAGTGAGATCGATGGTGAGATCGTTTGTGACATCGATCGTGAGATCGATTGTGAGATGCATCGTGAGAGGGATAGTGAGATCGATTGTGAGATCATAGCGGGATCGAATGTGAGATCGAGAATTCGATCGAAAGTGATATTGATCGAGTGAGATCGTTTGTGAGATCGATAGTGAGATCGATTGGGTGAGACGTTGGTTCCTCTCCCCCCGCCGAACCGCCAGATCACCCGAAGTGTGGTCGTATAGCTATTCCTAAACCTTCCAGCGCGTTGGGAGGACAGCCTCGCTCACGCACCTTGGCACACCAAGTACCCAGTCGAGAGCACGTCACACACAGGTTAAGGACTGCATCTCACAGGTTTCTGGTGGCGGGCAGAGGGTGGCAGAGAAATCGGCGAGGTCAAAAATCTGCTACGCTGCCAGTATAAAGCACGCCGCACCACGAAGAATACCCAGACCTCCTCCAGCCTGACGTTTCGATCCGCCGCTCCAGGGAAGCCCCGACCCCATACCGGGGCAGGTACACGTCGTTCATTTCTAATCGTGCTCATTTATAAGTGTGCTCGTTCCTGATTGTTCCTGGCCCCCTGGTGGCTAGGAAGAGGCCCAGGACAGAACACTTAGAAACGAAAGGATCCTGGCCCCCCCAAAGATCGATGAGTTTCCGAATAATTGGACATGAACCATGTGTAGTCCTGCGCCCCGCACGCTCCCTGCTGACCCCGGCGCCCGAGCCGAACAATTAGAAACGAAAGGATCCTGGCCCCCCCAAAAAATCGAAGAGTTTTCGAATCATTGGACATGCACCATGTGTAGTCCTGCGTCCCGCCTCCGCCCCCTGCTGGCCCCGGCGCCCGAGGCCCTGGCCCCATGGAGGCCCCCTCGAGGAAAACACCGCCGGGCTGGCAGCGGCGCGCCCCCGCGGCAGCAGACCACCCAGCAGCTCTGCACGTGCCCACGCCCGGGGGGGGGGCACGTGTGTAGTCCTGCGTCCCGCCTCCGCCTCCTCCTCCTCCTCCTCCTCCTCCTCCTCCCCTCCTCCTCCTCCTCCTCCTCCCTCCTCCTCCTCTTCCTCCTCCTCCCTCCTCCCTCCTCCCTCCTCCCTCCCCTCCTCCCTCCTCCCTCCTCCTCCTCCCTCCTCCCTCAACTCCCTCCTCCTCCTCCCTCCTCCCTCCTCCCTCCTCTCTCTCCTCCTCTCTCCTCTCTCCTCCTCTCTCCTCCTCCTCTCCTCCTCCTCCTCCTCCTCCTCCTCCTCCCTCCTCCTCCTCCTCCTCCTCCTCCTCCTCCTCCTCCTCCTCCTCCTCCTCCTCCCCTCCTCCTCCTCCTTCCTCCTCCTCCTCCTCCTCCTCCTCCTCCTCCTCCTCCTCCTCCTCCTCCTCCTCCTCCTCCTCCTCCTCCTCCTCCTCCTCCTCCTCCTCTCTCCTCCTCCTCCTCCTCCTCCTCTCCTCCCTCCCCCCTCCTCCTCCTCCCTCCTCCCTCCTCCCTCCTCCTCCCTCCTCCTCCTCCTCCCTCCTCCCTCCTCCCGCCTCCTCCTCCTCCTCCTCTGGCTCGCCTCCGCCTCCGCCTGCACGTGCGCCCCGCCTCCGCTCCGCTGGCCCCGGGGGGCCCGAGAACGGGCCCCGGCGAGGCAGCCTCGAGGCACGCCGCCGGGAGGGGCGCGGCGCCCCCCGTGGCGGCAGAGAGCCACAGCACGCAGCTCTGCACACAGCCCACACCGACGGGGCCTCGGCGGCCGACCTCGGGAGCCCCGGCTCCCGGCCCGGGCGATGGGAAGCGTGATGCTCGAGGCCTCCTGGATGGGGTCGGAGTAGATCCAGGTCGGGCATGTCCTCCTACAGGGGGATCTTGGACAGACAATTAAAGATAGACAAGCAAGACCCCGCAATGGTCAAGAAATAATGCAACATCGGCCCCCTACTATTTTTGAATATTCCTCCTGTAGAGGGACGTGCCCGACTTAGGAGTGGGTGGGGTCGGAGGATCGCGCCGCATCGCCCATGCCTCGGCGAAGCATCGCCGATGCATCGGCGGTGCATCGGCGACGCCAGCGTGGAGCAAAACTCGGGCTCCACGTCGAGCCGCATCGCCGACGCATCGACGACGCGGCGCGACCCTCCGGCCCCACCTGCTCGGACCACCCGGGAGGCCTCGCGATGTGTAGGGCCCCTGCAACCAAACGCACACACGCGAGAGAGAGAGAGAGAGAGAAAAACAAAAACAACAAAAAAACGTGCATCCTCAGAGAGCTGGGCGCCCCTGCCGCTCCTTGAGCAGGGACCGACCGTCCCGGCAGTCCTGCAGGCCTGCCACGACATGCTCCCAGAGCCTCAAACACACAGATCCGAGACACAAAACACATGCTCTCAGACCACAAAGCCCGGTGAGCCTGTCCTGGTGGGCCCCCGCGGAGGAGGAGGAGGAGGAGGAGGAGGAGGAGGAGGAGGAGGAGGAGGAGCAGGAGCAGGAGCAGGAGCAAGAGCAGGAGCAGGAGAGGAGGAGGAGGAGGAGGAGGAGGAGGAGGAGGAGGAGGAGGAGGAGCAGGAGCAGGAGCAAGAGCAAGAGCAGGATGAACGAGCTCGAACCCTTTCGAAACACACGAGAACACACGCGTCGCCAGAGGCATCCGGGTGCCGCCGCCGCCCCCCCGCCGCTCCCCCCCCTGCTGCCACACCCCGCTGGCTGCTCCTTCCGGGGGCCTCCCCGGAGCCACGCCCTCCGCCGGCGCGTCGAAGCTGCGTCGAACGCCCGTCGTTTCGCGTCGAGCTTGAGTCGAGCCTGAGTCGAACCCGAGCCGAGCCCGAGTCGAGCTCGAGTCGAACCCGAGTCGAGCTGGGTTTCGAGCGGAGATCTGCCAGGTGGGCCCCAGGAAGGTCCCCCCCCCCAAACCGGTATCTGGCGCTGCCGATCCCCCGCTCCCCTTCCTGCCCCCTGGCTGCCCACGGTGTTGCAGCCGCCGTGGATGAAGACCAGCACCGGGAGCGCGGCAGCCCGCCGTCCAGACAAGGACTGCGGGGGCGCGAACACGTTCAGGTACAGGCAGTCCTCACTCGAGCGGGGGATCGACTTACAGCAGGGAACCGAACTCTGTAAAACGCACAGAGACATACTAGTACTATATGCCGTCCTTGGAGGCGCGCGTCCGACCCGAACATATAGTATACCCATGTTGTAGTACATCGTTTCCCGAGCGGTGTGGCCAGAAAGCGCCCGCCACGACGCATCTACTATAAGATGCCTCGGTGCGCGCGTCGCCCCTGGGGGAACGAACCACATACAGGATAAGTATGTTGGGGTGCCGCCGACTATACACCGACGCTTTTTTCTGGCGCCGCACTGGAACTCGCACAAGAGAGCGGATCCTGGCGTATAAGGGATCCTGGTGTGTACATGTTTCGCTGCTCCCCCCGGAAACACGGGGACAAAAACGATACACCACATCACCCCGATGTCGTCCCCGACCCTCAAAAAGTCTTGGGATTGAACTATAGCCCGCCACTGGCTATGCAGATGCTCCGGTTTACGACAACATTGGTTTTCTCGTCGAGTTATACGTAGAATCTTCGTAGATCTACAAGCGTTCTAACGCGTTTCTCCTGAATTCGGCGAACGAGTCAAGTTTGGGGTAAATCAATATGTAGTCGATCCCCTATTCGACTCATGCAAGACCAATCCGTATCGAGTCAAGAAATCGGATCGGATCGTGATGTGCGTCGGATCGCGCCGTCTCGGCAACGAGTCGGAATCGATACACAGCAGGGCCATGCAAGTATCGGGCCGCACCGCATTGTCGGCATCGAAAATTTATGTGCAGGAGGAGCCTGCTTATGAGACGAAACCAAGATCAGAACAAGTTCGGATAAGAGCACATTGGAGATCCCCTGGAACTGACAGGCCTGGTTCAGGGCGCTCTGGAGCGATTTATCCCCATCCTAGGCCCAGGAGAGCCCAGAATCGAGGCGATAGGACTGACGGGCGATCGAACTGAGCCGGATCGGCGGAAACCGGCAGCCGAGTCGGGAAAAGCCGAATCGGCGGAAATCGGCAGGCTAGCAGGCCTCCGCTGAGAAATCGGAGCCCGAATCGGAATCCGAAGTCGAACCGAATCGAATCGGAATCGGGAGCCATCGAAATCGCATCGGATCGAATCGGAGGAATCGAAACGAGCCCTGCCTGGACCTGCCTATAAAACTTGTCCCCTGAGAGGGTCTGCCAGAGTCGACCACGGCGTCCTGCTTGGGAGGGTCTGATCAGACATCTGCGTTGATGGGCCTGTTTTCCACCACCACCACCATAAGTTGGAGGGGGAAGGAGGAGAAGGAGGAGGAGGAGGAGGAGGAGGAGGAGGAGGACCCCCTCCCCCTCCAACTTATAGTGGTGGTGGTGGAAAACAGGCCCATCATGCGTGGGCAACGTCCCTCGGACACTCCAGGAATTCAGGCTGCCCCTGGACCGGTCTACCAGGAGGACGAGGAGCAGCAGCAGCCTGGAGCAGGTATCCCGGAGGAGGCCGTGCGGTCAACCCGAATCATGAGGGCGCGCGATCAGGATGCCAGGGCAGTGGAAGGCCATGGCGACACCCTTCGGGCGGGGCGCGGCCATCGAAAGCGGCCAAGGATGGGCCTAAGGTTAGGTCGGGCGTGTCCTCCTACAGGCGGATTTTGGATGAAAAATGAAAAATAGTCAAAAATAGCAGCAACAACAAAAAACGCCAAGGGTTTTCCAAAAGTCGTCCCCAGACTATTTTTTGCTAATTTGGAGTGTTCCTCCTGTAGAGGGACAGGCCCGACTTAATACTATGCGGGGTTACCTGCCAAGAAGATGAGGAGACGAAGCAGCCTGGAGCAGGGATCACGGCGGAGGCCGTGTGCACATGTGTGTATCCATGTCTAGATGTGTACATATTTGTGTCTTTGCCCAAATGTGTGAGCACGTATGGGCACAAAGATTTTGGACGTCGCTCTTCGAAGAAGTATCCGCTTCGTGTGAAAAATCCCCCGATATTTGAAACCCGACGTATTCGAAGTCGTCCTAATATACTTCTAAACAATAGTTTCGCAAATTATAGGCATCCTCCACATGCTGGCTTCGAAGCTTCTTCCCAACTGCAATCGCAATGTGTGGAACACCCTCCTGCACCACACACGTCGCAAGGTGTGGCACCCCCACCTGCTTTCGACTGCGATCCCGCTGCTGCACCTCCCTCTGAACAGCCCCCTGGGGATGATCATGATCCCCCGTCTCTCCTGCTTCCTCTGCTTCTCCACCTGCTTCCGCCTCGTCCTCGGATCCGACTTCCTATTCCTCTTCTTGTGCATGTTCTGCGACGCCTATGTGCTGCAAGTATGCTTGTAGGAGCCTAGGCGCGCACGTGCCGCTTGTACACACATCCGCCACCACCAGCGGGCCCAGCTCTGACTACCTACCAGACCACCCCAACCCAACCCGAAGACCCCAATTTCGGGTTGGGGCGGGTACGGGTTCCATGTGTTTTTTCAATGTTCCCCGACCCCCCCCAACTGGAAATGGAGGGCAAATTAAGGCCTTCGGGTTGGGTTGGGGTGGTTTGGTGGGTGGTGAAGCTCTGGCCCGTGGGTGCGCGGTGCCGCGTGCGGCTGGCCTCCGCCGTGCCGGCGCGGACGCCGGTGCCGCTGCGCTCAGTGCGCCACTCCCGAGCGACCCGCACCATCCCGGGCCGCCTGCCCTAGTGCTGGCGGCGCGCAGAGGGGGGTATGGGGGAGGGGGGAAGGCTTCTTAGAAGCACCCCCTGCTCCTCAGAAGGCGCGGGCCTCGCCTGCAAATGTGAGGCCGGCGACTTCTAAGAAGCAGCCTCCTTCTAAGAAGCCTTCCCCCCTCCCCCCAACCCCCCTCTGCTGGCCTGCCCTGGTGCAGCGCGCCCCGCGAGGCGCGACGCGCGGCCACCTTCGCGCCCTCGCGCCGCCGCCCGGGAGGAGGGCGCCTCTCCAGCGCTCTCCAACTCGTGGCCGAGCTGCGCCGAGGACCGCGCTCGCCCCCGAGCCCACAGAGAGCGCTCGCGTCGCCCCTCGGGGGGCCGACGCAGATCACGGAGGACGCACGTGTCCACAGCGACGCCCCCGCGGTGTGGACTCCCGGGCGCGGTCCCGCGCGGACGCGGGTCGCACTGCTGCGGTCCGCGCGGGGCACCCGCGAACGATCACGCCCTGTAGCTGCGGGGCCGCGGCCCGGAAGGCTGGCCCGCGAGGCCACGGGTGCAGGTACAGTCGAGGCGTTGACCTAAGGAACCCTGAATAAGGAACGAGGCCCCTTTTTTCCATAAGTTGAACTTTAATGTCCCATCGAAAATCTGAAGAAAACCTAGGGCAAACTGTGAAACAAGGAAGAAACACGGAGCCCCTCCCCAACGAGAAGGGTTCCTTCTTCAGGGCCCCGACTGTACAGCTTTCGCCCACCAACGCACGCATGTCTGGGTGATTCCGAATGCCGGCCGCCAGCGGCACTAAACCTTGAACGCCCGCGCCGGCGTCGCCGCCACGTCGACGCGGCGCGAAGCCGCCGTGCCTTCCCTCTCCTGAAGGAAGACACAACAGACCCCCGCCCACGAAGTCGTGATACTTCCACGAAGGAGACTCCTGGACGGCGCTTCCATGTCAGACCCAGTGGCATGGCATCTCTTCCCCCCACGTCTCTCACCCCCCCTGCTGCCCTCCCCCCCCCCGATCAGACGCCTCATCACCCCTGCTGCGCCCACCCCCCTCCCCTGCGCTGCAGCGCTGGGCCGAAAGGGCGTGCAAGGCAAGTGAGTCGTGACTTGCGTGAAGCCCAGGTTCCCTTTCGAGCCTCTCCACGCCCCCCCTTGCCGGAGTCTGAAAAGCGGCCTCCGTGTGGTCCCTGGAGATCTCGACCCCCTTCCCGTGACAGGCTGCTCATCAGGATGCTCGTGTTTGACGACTCAATACCTGGCAATGGTCCCCAGGAGGCCTAAGAAAAACGCCCCAGCAGAATAATAAGCAACATATCTGTCCAAACGTAAATTCTCGGAAGTCGTCAAACAAATCGTCCCCATACGATTTGTTTGAGGATTTGTTGGGTATGCCTGCTGTAGAGGGACAGGCCCGACCTAACACTGGGGGCACGGGCCGGTCAGGGGCAGGGCAGGAGGCCAACATACTTATACACCGGCCGCGAGGCCACCTGGCAGACCGAGGCAGCACGGGCTGGCATGCTGCACCGCTGCAAACATGATGGGCCTGTTTTCCACCACCACCACGACAAGTCGAAGGGGGAGGGGGTCCTCCTCCTCCTCTTCCTCCTCCTCCTCCTCGTCTTCCTCCTCGTCCACCACCTCCTTCCCCACTCCAAATCATGGTGGTGGTGGAAAACAGGCCAATCAAAACAGACAACCTGCTGCGGCCGTTCGCTGAGTGCCTGGGCGGGAAAGTTATCTTCACCCCTGCCACGGCACGAAACGAAACGGCGGCGGACAAACGGCGGCTACCTGCACGGTAACGGCGAGACTGTATTATCTTTCTGGTCGAACGGTGCGGTACCGATCCTGTTGAAGGTGGCGAGACTGGATTACCTTGCTGGTCGAACAGTGCGGTGCTGATCCTGTTGGGCTGCAGCGCAGACGGCGAACGCCTGCTGCTATTGGCTACACCAGCCACGCCGCAGCCTGCGGACCGAGCCAACCATGAGCACCACCAGACTGTCTCTACAGCTGTCTCTGCATGGCCCAGTGGCCGAAGCCCCTGAGCGCTGCCAGACACGCTGCCAGACCCGCCCGACCATGCAAGCCGCCAGACTGTCCCACAGGGCGAGGCACTGCACGCTGGGACTCGTGCCCCTAGGCCAAGGAGAAACAGCAGCCGGAAGGGAAGGGCCATGTGTCACCCTGGGCAGCCAGCATGCACTCACCTGTCTGGAGCGGGCAGTCGCGTGGCGTGGATCTGTGCGCGCTCATATCATCTCAGATCATATATGTTGGCTCTGAACCTTCGTGCGAGGACCGCAGAACCGCGGGAGGAGTTACAGGAGAAGGATGAGGGGGAAGAGAAGTAGAAGTAGAAGAAGGTTGAGGAGGAGGAGGAGGAGGAGGAGGAGGAGGAGGAAGAGAGCGCAGGAGGAGGAGGAGGAGGGAGCAGGAGAAGGAAGCGAGGAGGAGGATGGAGGAGACAAGAGGAGGAGAAGGGAGGAGGAGAGAGGAGGAGAAGGAGGAGGAGGAAGTGGAGGGAGGAGAGAGGAGAAGGGAGGGAGAGAGGGAAGAGGAGGAGGAGGAGGAGGAAGAGGAGGAGGAGGTAGGAGGAGGAGGAAAGGAGGGAGCGGGGCCAAAGGGGATCCTGGGGACTTGAGGTTGGCGCGGGGCTGCCCCAGCCAAGGCCGCAGGGCTCGAAGCTCCCCATGCCTCCCCCCGCCGCGCGAAAGCGTCGAGTTTCTCGAAATACCAGATTTCAAGTCAGGCGTGTCCCTACAGGAGGAATGTTCAAAAAGAATAACAAATAATCGTGGGACGATGTTTCTAGTATTTTTCCATGTCTGAACATTTGGGGGTATTTTTTCTTTTCCTCCAAAAGCCGCCTGTAGGAGGACAACCTAATTGTACTATTCGGCGCCTTACGAGGTAACGCCTGAAATAGAAGCCTCCTAGATGGGCTTGGAGTAGATGGGGTCGCAGGATCGCGCCGCATCGCCGATGCATCGGTGATGCACCGGCGATGCATCGTCGACGTCGGCGGTGCATCGGCGACGTCGACGTGCAGCAACTCGGACCCCTACATCGAGCCGCATCGGCCACGCAGCGGCGATGCAGCGCGATCCTCCGACCCCATCTGCTCCGACCCCATCTAGGAGGCCTAGATGCAAAGACATATCCCAGCCCATGCGACGTCCCGATGTTTTCCATACGGGGCCCCTGGAAGCCCCGACCCTTTCCCTCGGAGCTGGTTCTTCATCCCGAGTCGTTCTTTGACGGTCCCGGGGCCCGGCGAGGGCCCCCCCGAGGCCGAAAATGGTCAAAAATCTCGCGTCCTGATTTTTCGTTACGACTGGGGGGCCACATGCGAACCCCACCCCTACCCCCCACGAGTTCTGAGGGGGAGGGTGGGGTTCACTTCGGGGGGGGGGGGGTAGGGGTAGGGTTCGCATGTGCCCCATTTTACGACGCGATCGTGTCTGGGAGCGCGAGTCCTCGCTCTCCCGGCCGCCCTCGCCGCCCTGGTAGCAGCTGGGGCCGTCCGCGGCCGCGTCCAGCGCGCGGCCCGCGGGCCAGCACTCCGCCGGCGCCGGGGGCTGCCAGCGCCGCTGCCCGGTGGGCGGCGCCCCGTAGGGCACGCCGCGGAAGGCGGCCACGGCGCCGCCGAGCTCCCAGACGCCCTCGGCCTGCTCCTCCTCCTCCTCCGCCGCCGCCTCCTCCTCCGCCTCCTCCGCCTCCTCCGCCTCCTCCTCCTCCTCCGCCTCCTCCGCCTTCCTCCTCCTCCCGCTCCTCCGCCTCCTCCTCCTCCTCCTCCGCCTCCTCCGCCTCCTCCTGCTCCGCCTCCCCCTCCTCCTCCTCCTCCTCCTCCTCCTCCTCCTCCTCCTCCTCCTCCTCCTCCTCCTCCTCCTCCTCTCCCAAGGATCCGAAGCGCCGAAAAAGACTGGAGCGGCGGACTTGGGGGCTGTGTTCGGCCTCCAAGGGAGGGGGCCCTCGCTGGACCCCGGGGGACCGTCAGGAGACGACTCGGGACGAGCAGCTGGGGAAGTGGTCCAGGCTTCTGGTGCCTCCTCCTCCTCCTCCTCCTCCTCCTCCTCCTCCGCCCTCCTCCTCCTCCCCCCGCCTCCTCCGCCTCCTCCGCTTCCTCCGCTTCCTCCTCCTCCTTCTCCTCCTCCTCCTCCTCCTCCTCCTCCTCCTCCTGGTCCAAGCCTCTGGTGCCCACGCATCGGACAAGTGGGAGCGGCGTGACGGCACTGTGCTGCCACGAGTCGGCCGCGAGCGAGGAGGGAAAGCGAGAAGGGGCGGGCCTTCTCAGACGGCTCGGAAGTCCCCTTGCGCCTGAGGCGCTTCCTGAGCCTTCCCCGAAGACACAGAGAACCTCTCAGAAGCCCCGCCGCTCTCCGAGAAGGCCTTCTCCTTCTCATTTCACCCTCCTCGTTCGCCGCCGAACGTGGAGCGCCAAGCGAAGTACAGTGGGAGCCCGACCACCAGAAACCCTGCACAGGACACCCGACCCTGCGACGCCAGGGCGTCACCACGCTCCCCACAGCAAAACCATCGACAAGCCCAAAACACCCAGAGGCACCCTGGAGGCAAGAGCAGGGTGCCTCTTGGCATGGGCCTCCACTGTACGGTCCGATTGTTGTCGGCGTATCAATCAAGCCGTCACTGCACCGACCTTGCAGACGTGCTGCAGCGGATTTTTACGTGGATTTCAGTCAACGCAAAGCCCGGAGGAAAGGCGAGCGCAAAAGGAAATGAATTTCACGTGGATGTTTCGTAGTCTTCATCCCTGGCCGCACGACATTCACTGCGAGATCCGGAACGCAATTCTCCAGGACACTCCGGGCCCATCCTACTGTTTTCTGGATGATCTCCTCTCTGCGATGCTGGCGCCACGGGAACCGGTGCGCCCCGCATCAGCGTGGCGTGGGCTTCGCCGCTCGGGATCGGCGCACTGCTCCCGTCGCTCCAGGCGGAACGCTCGCTCCAGCGCTCTCGCGCCCCAGGGGAGCTCGCTCCAGCGCTCGAGAGCGGGACAGGGGAGAGGAGAGGAGAGGGGAGGGGAGGGGAGGTGAGGAGGAGAGGAGAGGGGAGGGGAGGAGAGGGGGAAGAGGAGAGGAGAGGGGAAGGAGAGGGGAGAAGAGAGGAGAGGAGAGGGGAGGAGAGGAAAGGAGAGGAGAGGAGGAGAGGGGAGGAGGGGAGAGGAGAGGAGGGGGGAGGGGAAGATATGGAGGGTAGGAGAGGGGAGGGGAGGAGAGGGGAGGAGAGGAGAGGAGAGGGGAGGAGAGGGGAGGAGAGAGGATAGGGGAGGAGAAGGGGAGGAGAGCGGGAGGGAGGCGAGGAGAGAAAGGCAGGGAAAAGCAGGGCTTTTGCTTTGGCGTGGGCCTCCACTGCACCCTGGCCGCGGCGGCTCCCCCACGAGCAGCTCCCCCCCCCCCCCCCTCGGGGGGGCCCCCGGGAGCGGGCCCCGGAGCGCAGGAGCCCCTGCAAAGTGGGCGCCAGGAGGGCCTCCATGCAAGGGGCCCATGGAGGAAGGAGGAAAGGAGGAGGAGGAGGAGGGAGGGGAGGAGGAGGAGGAGGAGGAGGAGGAGGAGGAGGAAGAGGAGGGGGCACGGGCCCCCGCCTCTCGAGCCCCGAGGGGGGCTCGGCGGCTCGCGCCGGGCCCGTGCCCGCCTCGCCGCAGCCCAGCCTCGCGCGCGGCCGCGCGGCCGCCCCCGCGCCCCCGGCCGCCAGCCAGGCAGCGCCGCCCTGCCTCGGCAGGGGCCCAGGGGCTGCGGACGGGCTGCTTGAGTGCGTGTCAACAGTGTGTCTCTAGGGCTTAAGTGCGTGCCATGATGATGTCTTGAGCTTCAAGTGTGTGTGCAACAATTGTGTCTGCAGGGTTTGAGTACCTGTCGGGCTTGTGTCTCTAAGGCCCACGCCGGCCCCCGGGCAAGGCGGGCCAGGACCACCCGGACGTCCGCGCGAGCCGCGGCAGAAGTCACGACGCGGGAGGCTTGTCGCTCTTTCCGGCCTCCTGGGGGCCCCTGCTGGGCCTCGGGACCGTCAAAAAACACGACTCGGGATGAAGAGCCGGTCACCCGGGGAATGGGCCCACACCTCTGGGGGTCGACGTCATGAACCAATCAGGACGTCGGGGGTCTGGGTATGGGGCTTCCGGCTCAAGCTTCGAGCTCGGGCTTCTCGGGCTCGGGCTCGGGCGTCTTGCCCGATGATCGGGGCCTGACTCGCGCTCGAGCTCGAGCTCTGGCTCTGGCTCGGCCTCGGGCTCTCTCCCAAGAGTGCTCCCTGACCAGAAATGTCGTGGCGTACCCAGCCGTGGCGGTGAGGGCCTCCTGGGAGGACCAGGAAGGCAAAGGCGATAGAACAGGAGCGGTACCGAGACATCGGGCGCCGCAATCTGTTCGCAACGTGGCTCCCCATCCTGGGTATTTTGTGATCCAGTCCCGGGGCCCGTCGAGTGCCCCCCGACGCCGACCGTTGGCACACACACACACACGCACGCACGCACACACACACAGACACACAGACACACAGACACACACACACACACACTCCGCCGTGTTTTCCACAACGAGAGGCTGTCAGGGTCAGGTGGTGACATCCGAACCCTACCCCCACCAACCATCGATCCTCCTGAATCGATGGGAGGCGGGGGGTGGGTTCTGGTCTCGCCACGTGCTCGACGAATCCCGAACCCTACCCCCGCCGCCCATCGAGATGCCTGCTTCGTTGATCGGCGAGGGTAGGGCTCGGATTTTGCAGCCGGAGGACACCGTCACAATTCCTCCTCCTCCTCCTCCACCTCCTCCTCCTCCTCCTCCTCCTCCTCCTCCACCTCCTCCTACTCTACTCCTCCTCCGCCTCCTCCTCCTCCCTTCCGCCTCCTCCTCCTCCGCCTCCTCCTCCTCCGCTCTATCCTGTTCCTCTCCTCCTCCTCCTCCTCCTCCTCCTCCTACTACTACTACTACTACTACTACTACTACTACTGCTACTACTACTACTACTACTACTACTACTACTACTACTACTACTACTACTACTACTACTACTACTACTACTCCTGCTGCTGCTGCTGCTGCTGCTGCTGCTGCTGC